TGTGTGCACACACACACACACACACACACACACACATACACATATGTAGGTCACGCCTTGTATTACACACTCTATAAATGTATTAAATGTAATCATTGCATTTGTTGCGCGCCTTACACATTTATGTATGTATGTATACATGTATGTATATATAGATGTATGTATGTATGTACATATATACCCTACGCTCCTTCAAGTACTTCAACTAACTAATTCAGAACCCTTTCGAATTTTATTCACATGTTCTTGGAAGGCATACCTAAATTAAATCAAGTAAGATATTGAAGTAACAATAAGATAGTTTTTTCCTGATTCCATAATAAGGAATAGTTATTGGATGGGTATAAATAATTTGTTCCACAAACTTACTTGGATTATGTGCAAGGTGAGCAGCCTCAGCAAATGTAGCTCAACGGTAACTTGTTGGTTTTTTATTCATTGCTCTCACTTTTTTTTTATTGCAATTTCATATTTCATTGTTCAATTAACTGCTACCTTGTACAGACATGTGGAGCGTGGGCAGTGTGGGATGTGGGCGTGGCAGTCGGTGCCATACATATATAGCTAGCACGCACTTCCTAACGCCTACAGAGTCGTGTGCCAGCTAAATGAATTGTTTGTTGAACCATTCTATTCGCTTTCCTCTCGCACTCTCGCTCAAGGGTCTCGCCTATTGTCCAGACGAGCGTGGGTTGAACAAAGGGGTGGGGAGGTTAGATGTGGCATGGGTGGAGGCGAGGGGAGGTGGTGCTTTGTTGGCCAATTTTGTATGGTGCGTCTAATTGAATATATATTCATGTTTGCACATCTCTGGAGCTGCCCTCAGAGTTACGCCCAGCATTATTATTATTTGCAGCTCATTGTCAGTATGTGCTTTTATGTATGTATGTGTGTGTGTGTGTGTGTGTGTGTGTATATCCCTGGTATTGCTGCTGCAAATTTCCGCGGTGTCGTATTGTATTATCAAAATGGTATACTCTGAACCACAATACGATTCCTCAGAAATTCGCTGCTGTAAGTTACCGTTTTCAACCGTATAGCAACTGTGCCGATAAACCTATCCCAGTCTATCGATAGACAACGATTGTCAGTTAGGCTATTCGGCTAACAATTGTTGTTGGATTGGAATCACGACTCTCCGCTGTTATGTAGAAATACATTGTTTAACAATAATAACAACGAGTCTCGCGCTTCAAATCAAATGCAATTGGTTCTTCAGCAATGCAAAGTGTACAATATGATTTTTGGATTTAGTTACCCCTTTTTGTTATCGTTGTCATTACCGTTGCTAGGCATTTCCAATGAGCACAACACAAAACAACAAAATCAAAGTACAACGGAAGTTTCGCCCAATCCCGTTACGATTTTGCGAAAGTCTCATTGTATGACCATTTGATAACCAATGAGACGTTCACATCTTCGAACCGGGCGTAACGGTAACGACAACCAAAGGTGAAAAGCTATCCACCAAGTTGCATATACGAGTAGTGCGAGTTATAACAACCCTGAATATATATTCCGAATTCAATTTGATCAATTTCTTCGTTTATCTTAGCATTTTCAATGGATTCCGGACATAAAAATAGGAAATCGGACATTGAAGGACTACAAATGAAATATAACTTGGCCTGCCAATAAAGCAATAAAAAAAACGAAAGTCCTTCAAACAGCTGAAATAAAAGTGCTTTTCAAAAGTTATAAGTCTCTTACAACTAGAACATTTCCATTCGGATCCTGGCTAGCCCTACGTCAAAAAGTTTAGAGTAAAACCAGGGCCAGGGTTTGTCCGATTTCGAATCATTTCCGAAAACTGTTATGAAATTTGTGCATGTGTTTTTGTGATTGGATGACCTAATAATCTGTTTGTGTACTTCGATAGAATTGGTCCTTGCGATGCTAAAACTATATATCCTTTCAAAATCCGAATTGGAGCCTTGTTTCTTGAGTGTCCCTAAAAGTATGCAGTGATTATTTAACTACTGATGGGGAATCTAGCCAATTCTTCAACCTAATTTGTGGCGCTTGTGGTGCGTGCACCTGCTATCTTAACCTGCAATCTGCAAAGAAATGATCACTTTTAGGAAAAAGAAAAAAAATTTGGCTACACGGAGTTTTTTAAGTGTCGTTGTCAGTGATGTCAATCTATCCTGTTACCAAACAATTATCCTTTCCGGCAATCTATCCATTTTGCGCTCAAATCATAATACATTTTTATCGTATTGTACTTAAATTCAAATTTTATATGCAAGTTGTTTCTGGTAAACTTTAGTATTTAAAAATATATAGATTTGATTTAGTAAAAAACAAAACATAAAGGGCAATTGGCAATTGTTTGTATCGAATTTACTAATATATTACCACAATGTAATACAATGCAGCTTTAAAAGAGAAAAAGATTTGGGCAGAACCAATTTGCTAACAAGACTCAGATGGGAATAAGCCGTTTATCGAAACGTTTTTTTTTTGTATATTAGATAATGTTATATTTGTTTTCAATACGGATGTATTTATGTATACGATAAGATCATAAATTTCTTTTTTTAAGACTTGGATTATATATCTATATATATATATATGCTATTATAAACAGAATTAACTAAGCGCTTAAGTTTATATATAGTATGGAAAATCTATAGACAAACACTGTATTTAAACTCGAGAATGCAATAGTGGTCAAAATGCCAGTATTAATTCTAAAATTGTATTACCAACTAACTAACTAAGTGATTTGAGTTAAGTTGGTAAAATGAAAACGTATATCAAACTAGTTACAGTTTTGCCAGATTAAATAGAATCAAAATAAAAGATGGATCAGCTTGTTAGCTGATTGCACTTGATGTCGATATTGTTACTGTTTGGGGCTCTCAAGTGCACATTAATGAACTGCTTGTATGCTTTTAATTTGCATATGTCTGACAGTAAATGCCCAATCGATAGATAGATGGGCTTTTGATTAATTAACATACACATACGCATCAACTGGCAGACAAGCAACTGCATGTGCAAGCTGGCCGCATCTGCATCCATGTCCATGTCCATGTCCATGTCCATGTCCATGCATGTCCGTGTCTGCGTCTATGTCCATGCCCATGCCCATGCCCATGTCCATGTCCATGTCCATGCCCATTTCCATGCCCATTTCCATGTCCATGTCGATGTCCATGTCCATGCCTGTGTCTGTGTCAGAGCGCCATTGCCAGAAACCATAATTGATTGTCGATAATTCATGCGAACTTAAATTGCCAATTGCATGTGGGGCAACGCGGGTGATAAGGCGTGGGCGGGGCTAACGATATGTTGGCTAATGGCAAGCATATAACATGTACATCAGCATATGCTATACATATACATATATATGCGTACATACATACATAAGTGTATATATGTGCAACATATCTGTAGCCGAGAGTTAGCTAATAGTTGGATCCCATTCGCATGATTCTAAGAAAAACAAAATTACGAATCTTGATTGAAGACTGAAGACTATTTCATGCTAGAATTGCAAAACCTAAATGAAGAACTTTAATCTCGAGTTAACAGCTACAATCTCAAATCAAGCATTTGTTATTTGAAATTACAAATTTAAGATTGTAAAGTTTTTCTTTCTTACTGCAACTAAAAATATTCTTGATCTAGGCACACAGAAACACAACAAATCTTAATTTAAAGATTTTTGATACAAAATCAAACTAGTTGAGGAGCTGTTAACAAAAATTGATAACTGATCAGTCTACCCTCGTGAACATGTTCTAGAATATGCCCAGCAAATTGGCTGTTGTGGGTGTTTAATGTCGGTGTGTATATTTGTGTGTATATTTGTGTGTATATTTGTGTGTGTGTGGGTCGTTGTCCTTTCGTGCGAGGGGCCCCTTTAGCGGCCAGTTGTGGCCAGTGGCCGGGCAAAAACTGCGCAACATGATGAAAATACATGGCGAATTAAAATTGGCACATTTTCGTACGAGAGGAACCGACCAACAACAGACAAGACAGCTAACCAGTGGGATGCACACAGCAGAGGAGTGTGGAGAATAGAGTGGGGCACACAGACAGACATTCAGACAACCTACAACTACAACATACGCTTAAAACAAAGCCAACAATTATTTTTAATATTTTTTTTGTGGCTCTCGTGTTTATGTTGTTGCCCGAGTTAAAGCTGTGATGTAATTTGCCATACGAGTAGTAGGTGCCTTTAGGAACAACATTCCATGATTCGATTGACAGCTGATTGATGACGATAATCATACGCAGAAGCATATCAATTGTATGCTCTGAGAAAGAGAGTTCTTTATAAATATAATGAACTACTAAATCAATTTACCTTATGTATCTATACATTTAAATAAGTACACAGCATTTTAAAAATGTATAGCTGTGTAAGATATCGATCCAGACATTGCTCTCAATATTTTGTATCAATATAGCATGTATAAAAATTCCTTTGCTCAAATTCTGCATATGGCAAACTGAAGTTGGTTGCTATTCACAATATGCATATGCAAAAATAAGGCACCTTGTCCAAGGTGTGTCATCGACCATCGGCCATTTGAGATGAAAGGGCCTTTTTTAGCTGCTATGTGAATTTTTCGACTAATCATAACAGTTAAGAGGGCCTATCCTCTCAAATGACGCACGGGCAACAGCATTCGTGGCGGGGAATCTGAGTGAGCCCGAGGATGCATCTGGTAACTAGCCGTTCCTGTGTAGCCAAATAGTTGGTAGCACGATTGTTATTTGGCACATCAGTGACTGCTGGTTAACGGTGAGCGCACAACAACCGCCAGAGGATCATTATCTTAAAGGGATGCAATATTGATTCATATTTTGGCATTTAAGAGTGGCATTGATTAGATGCGATCGATAAGTACGGCAGTTCGATAACCAACACAGGTCCAGCCGTATTCAGCGCTTTTGGAAGTAAGGAACATGATTCTCCTAGTTTCAATGCCGCTGAGTAAAGCTGTCCCAATGCAAATCGCAACGTAACTGAATCGAATCAATCAATAAACATTTTCTTTTATTTTAAAACATATAATGGATATGGTACAATAACTAGACGGAGAATTAATATATTGTGCTTTTCTCTTAACAACGAACAACTGTAAAGATGGGAATGATATTGGATTTAAACCTCGAGTAGAAATTTGTGAAGAAATAATGGATGAGATTTTTGAACATATCAGAGGTATCAGATTAACATTACTCTTTCTTTAAATGAATATGTATATATATATATCCAGTTGCAGACCTAGCCCATGGCATTCTCCACACATAGCTTTTCCATTTGGTCAGAGTAGAAACCATTGAAATTGATTCTATGCACAAGATTCATAAAGAGATCAGTGGTATTATCCTTGGCCAGATCATTGATTTGCTTAAGGAACGTTATGAGCATGCCCGTAAACTCCAGATCAAATCGTTTCACACGCTCCCCAAATGTATCCGTCTCATCCATTTTGCTCTCGGTCTGTGTTTTGAAAGAGAAAGAGAGAGAGAAAATTGTAATTTAAGATGAAGATGAAGACAATAATAATAATAGTGATAGGAGTTGAAGAGCTTAAATGTAAACTGATAATTGTATATACAAAGTTGAAAATGTCATTCTCTGGTTATTGGATTAAAATGAGGACACTTGGTGGACAAAATAGATACATACATGCAAACAAGCAAAGGATCAGCTAAGCTAACGATCCCATAAGGATTAATAGAAAATTATATATGATAACCCATTGCTGGGAGGAAAAACCATTAAAATATAAAAATGAAAATGAAAAAGGAAAATGAAAAGAAAAGAAATGCAATTTGTACAGATTACAAATAATATTGGTACAAATTTGCACAGGGGCTCTACAACCATGTATGTGCTCTCTATTTGTGATTATGGTATACCTGTAGCCGATCCGAAATGTCTGGCTCAGAGTCGGACTGATCCGTATTCTCATCACTGCTATCACAGACCATTGACTTAAGCTCCGCATCGAGAAAGAAACGTTGCGAACGCTACTTGCGCGATATTTGTTGCAAGATATGTCGATTATATATATATATATATATTTATATTTATAGATGTATTGGGCAGGCGCAAGCATGGCGGGAGAAGAGAAACAAGGAAACAAGACACATACATATGCATGTATGCATGTATACAGGACAATGAGGACTCGCACTCACAATTCACAAATCACAATCCGTTAGGCCTTAAACATGACTTAGCCAATGGACACTTGCCAGACAGACTCACCTGTATGAAATCGCAGAACTTTAGACAGATCTTACATAACTTAAATATGGCACGATTCAGATGCGAAGTTTCGGTCAGCATGCAGTTCTTCAAGCACAGATCGAGAAAGTCGTGATGCAGCTTGAGCACCATATCCACATTCTCCACCTTCTTCATCTTCTCAATGAAGATATGCCAATTGGGCTCGATGATCTCGATCATCATATAATACTCCAGATTCTGTACAGCGTTCATCATCCGCTGACGCAGCGTAAACGCTGAACGATATAGTTCGGCCGATTGTGGCGAAAACTTTTTCGTTAAGGAATTCTCCTTCCAAATTCTGCAATAAATTGAGCAAACATTTGTTAACAACTCGATGTCAAACATATTCTGTACCCAGCTAACCCTTCAGAAAAACTACTGAATGCCTTGAATTCATATAGGTTGCATAGAGTTGCTATAAACGCTGAGAATTGAGGTTGTTTCTGAGGTGTTACTCACTTGCAGAGCTGCCGTTCGACGTGCTTGCAGTAGAAGAGCTGTCGGAAGAGCATTTGATACTTGGAGATGGCGATGTGATTGAGCACTAGTGAAACGGGCCACTTAACCTCGTAGCTGAAGGCGAAGCACTCCATGCCACTCAGATCTAGACGATCGTGTGTCTTCCAGTTCTCTAAAATTGTATACCATGTTGCAGCTTTTTAATGGAGCGATCAATCGGGAGCGCTTTTTGCTCACCTTCATCGGGGTTTATGATCTTGGACATTTGTGTAACCAGATCGTAGGTGAGCAGACCGCAGTGTACATAGTCCTTGTAGGGATCGCCACGTGCCGACGACAGGCGCAGCGTCAGCCCCAACAAATTCTCCAAAGTGATGGGCAACACCTGATCCACATTCTTGGACAGCTCATCCTCGCAGGCATCCATGAACTGCATGATAAAATCACCCTGATGCAGAAGCAAATAACGCCTTACCGACAACAGATGGCCCATTAGATCATTCTCTGTGATTAGCACATCCAGAAGCATGCGTGCGGCAAAATAGTACGCATCATTGATCACACGCACATGCTGCTCGTTTGTGGGATCGTATTTGAGGTTCATATTCTGTATGGGCATCATACGCTTGCCACACTGTCGAATCACATTCAGATATTTGCCGGTGCGTAGTATCTTGTCCGAATGCCCCTCCAGGAATTTGGGTATGCATTTGTCGCGCACGGTGTATCGCCTCTCCCAGTAATCGTCCGAGTAATGCTCGGGCAGCTCATATATGTGTATGACCTCGTTATCCTCGACCAGAAACTCGCGCGTCGGATCCACAATGATACCCTTCTGTATCCAGGCCTGCAGCATTGTCATATAGGGTGCCGCTGCTTTTTGTGCCAGCGATATAATCGCTTCCTGAGCTGACTTGTCGCCCTCCAAACGCTTGATGTGTACGCCCAGAAGCGACAGCACAGCAGCGCCATGGCAATTATTCTGTTCAGATAAAATTAAATAACGACAGCTATACTGAAACTGAACTGACTTGTTTACATATATAGGAAGGAAGCTGCAAACACTTACCGTCTGCATCTCAACCACGAAGGTGCAGATCGCATGCAAAACCCACATGGTGGGCTGTAGATAATACTGCAGCTTGGACAAAGACAGCTGGTTCTCGTGCAGCTCCTCCTCAGCTTGTGAGATTAGTATCTGTCAAATAAGTGCGTGAGATTATTAATCGCATTAATCAAATGTGCAACATTCGACGTACATGGTATTCTTTAGTTATGACAGTTAATTGGGCATTGAGAGCACTGATGACCTGCCCTCGACCCTCACTGTTTGAGATGGCAATTTGGATTCCCATATAGTGCGAGGCCAGCGGCAGAATCTCTTGCGCCAATTCCGCCAACGATTTGTCCAGCTCATTGTGGATGGTAAAGCGTGTTTCATACTTTTCAACCACTTTGTCGCGAGCCAGCGGCTGAATGTAGGCGCCACGCACACCATTCAGAACGTAAATCAGATCTTCGAGAATCAAATTCTGTTGGGTATCCAGCGGTAATCCCGACAGACTCTGTTTACACAGCGAATTCGAATCATCCACTTTGTAGTAGTCCCACAGCAAAGTGGGATGATACTCTTCCGTCAAACCGTTGCTGGGCGGTGCATTGTGATTATGATCACCATTTTCAGTCTTCCGACTATAAGCATCCGCGAGCACCAGACTCGGCCAGACATCATCGGCGGAGGCGTTTTTATCGGCGTTACCGGGAGATATACTGGAGCCATTGGTCGTAACTGATTTATTGCCAGACTTGCTGTGCTTGACAATTTTATCATACCCTGGCTCCGTTCTGGTCGAAACGGCATTCAGCACGCGTTGCTTAATCTACAAAATGAAACAAGAATTAAAAAAAAAATTAATTAAAAAACAGCCAACGACTAGAAACCATTGATGGGTTTACAATACAACGCTCTAATTTTGGACCACTGTAACTTTACCCAATTATTGTCCATCAGGTTTAAGCCTTATGGTATGGCACCCAAATGATCTGATCAAAATAACTTAATAAACAAAAATGTCGTTTTAACTCAATTATCGAGCTATTTTAAGAGAGAGATCTGATCTGTGTAGGAGAAACAGACAGGAAAGACGGAAAACCAGCTTGTTATCCTCATGACGAATAGCTTAGAAATTATAATAATTGGAATACCCTGCAAAGTCTACATATGGCCTTCCCTAAATACTCTCTAAATCCATCTATTTCTTCACTATAAATTCAATAAATTGCAATCATTGATGTTACAAGCAACTAATTACCTGTCTCAGATCAGCTCGTGAATCAGCTGGGTCAACCGCACGCCGTCCATACGAAGTAGTGCTGGCCATTGTACAGAGATCAATATTCTCATCCGCGGAACGACTGTTCAGAGGCGTTGTTGGCGTCAGAAGGTCCGAAGAGCTGGCGCCGCTGAGCACAGTATTCCGGCTGCTAAGCGACAGTGGCGGCGGCATATCAAACAATGGACTCAAGGCGTTACTTGTTTTCGATGGCCACAAGAATTTGCCGTTTATGCGTTCGGCAAAGACTAACAAAGCGTACATGGGATCCTTGCTGTGCAAAAAGAAAGAAAGCACAGTTATGTTGAGTTATTTACAGTTCTGTGTGTTTGTGCGACTGCGTATTTGTTGTGTGTATTTTACCGCTCAAGCATGGATCTGATTTCGTCGAGCACGTTGCGATAGTTGGGCCGCTTGCAGCTGATGGACTCGAGCAACAAGAGCAGCTCGCGGTTCGAGCGTCGTTTATCGGCTGTGGCCCGAAATTCACGGATAATGCTGTCTGGTGTATGCTTTGCTCTACAATCACAAAATGTAAAGACCACTTAATTTATTCTCAATTGGAATGTGTATTTCAACTCCGAAGCCACACTGTGATTCAACAATAATGCAATGTACCAAGCAGCATCTGGCACATCTGCTGGCTGCCAGGCACTTACTGAGTCTCGTCTATGAGAATTGCCAGCACAGTCCGCACTGGATCGGTTTTAGTCGTCTTCAGATGGGCCATATGTTTTTGTAATTTGTTAACTTAACGGTGTAAACGAATAGAAACGATGCTCAATACACAGACACAGGGTATTTTCAGCTCAAGCCAAAGTTGAGCGGGTTTGCCAAATTAATGCTCTTGCTCATTTGGTTTTGTTTTTGCATTTACAGCGTTGCCACCTAGTTTAAAATACAAAAGGGCAAATTGCAAAGAGAATTTCGTTTATTATTAAATGTACGTATCTTAATACGGGCATCTGATGAATTTGAAAAAATTTTTAACGACTATTATCTATCAGTCCACTATTAACATTTATACATATTACCAAAAATGAATAAAATGTTAATTTTAAGTCAGCTGAGCAAAAGAATGCCAAACTATGGCAACATCCTTTCGATGTTTATTTAGTAGGAAAATCGATACATTTATGTATTTTCAACGGAAATGTTTGTAAATTACCAACTTTCCCCTGGCAGCCTAATTAAAAACTAAAAATACAAACTGCACAGAATATGCAATTGTTCTTCACACTGCTTACATTTACCTTTACATATTTTGCTGGTCTCAGTTGAAGCTCGCTTCAAGCCTGTTAACTGTTAATTGTTAAAGCATCGAATTTTAAATGAAATGCAAATCGTATGTGGCAAGATTAATAAGTTATATTGCTATATGGTATGTTGGGTATAGTCGCAACAACAGATAAAAAATCGCAGCATCTTTTTAGCATCTCCACTTTTGCATCTTATCTGCTGCATGACCTTTACGCCGCCACCGATCAGTCAGCAACGACAGGGAGGTAGAAACACTGAGAGAGAGAGAGAGAGAGCGACAGGGAATGAGAGCGCAGCTAGAGCTTAAGCTTAACAAAAGCTCATTTGCGGATGAGAGCGATAAGATGTGAAATAATTTGTAAAAACAATCGTTAGGGCAGTCGCAAGGTGAAATTTTCCATAACCAGCAAATAGAGAACATTATGTGGAGCGATCTAAGCAACAAGGTGATACTGGTGACCGGCGCCGGTGCTGGCATTGGCAATGCCCTGGTCAAACAGTTGGCCAGCGCCGGTGCCACAGTCATCGCGGTGGCCCGCAACGAGGCACAGCTCAAGGAATTGGCTAGCGTGGATGCGAAGCATATTAAGCCGCTGCTCGTAGATCTAACCAATTGGAATAAGGTGCGCGAGGCACTTGCAACTGTACCACAGCTGGATGGACTGGTGAACAATGCGGGCGTGGCCATTATCAAACCCTTCGAGCAGCTAACCGAACAGGATTTCGATACGTAAGTATAAATATACAAATATGTATACTTATTTTCTCATTCTCATTCTCGTTCTCTCTTTTTGATGCAGTCAGTTTGATGTGAACATTAAGGCTGTCTTCAATGTGACGCAGACTCTGCTGCCCAAGCTGCGCAATGGCAGTTCGATTGTGAATGTGTCCTCGATCGCCGCATCCCGTAGTTTTGGTGGCCACACGGCATACAGTGCCACGAAAGCGGCTCTCGATTCGTTGACCAGATCGTTGGCTTTGGAATTGGGCGCACGCAAAATACGCGTCAATTCGGTTAATCCTACTGTTGTGCTGACCAAAATGGGCCGCGACAATTGGTCAGATCCGGGCAAGAGTGGGCCACTGCTGGCGCACATACCACTGAATCGATTCTGTGAGGTGAACGAGGTGACCGATGCCATTGGCTATCTGCTGAGCAGCAAGTCCAGCTTTGTCAACGGACATCAGATCAATCTCGAGGGCGGCTATTCCGTCTCCTAAAAACAACAATTCACAATTTTGTCCGCTGCATTTTCCTCAATTTCTCCATTTTGTAATAAAGACGTTGTATAAAACTTTAAATAAAATGTTTTGCCTTCAAGTTGGCCCGTTCAACCCTAATGGCTTACAAGCTGTTGTTCGCTTCCTTCAATTGCCTGGACAATAAAGAGATGCAATAAAATAAATGGACGAATTTGGAACAGAAACATGTATTTAGTTAGTGACTTACCCAATCATTTAAGATTTCCTAAAAATTGGAATGTGTGCCAAACATACAAACATATATTAAGTATGGATTCGAAATTATTTTCATCAATAACAATGTCTACACACATATATGAACAGGTCGACAGACGAACACATTGCTATTAACTACATACTCTCTACATACATATATCCATACATTTTAGATACAAGTGCAGATGCACAGAATTACCGGACGGGGATGAGCTCCTGCATCAGTTGGCAATAAGTTCGAACTTTGGACTGTCCTGAGAGACATATTTTGGTTTCTGATAGCCTGCGGAATGGCGACGCTGCCCTTAGCAAAGATCAACAAAGCCTGCATGGGATCATTTCTGTGCAAAAAGAATGCACAGTTATGGAGAGTTATTTAGTTACACAGTTATGTGTGTTTGTCTATCTGTGTATTTGATGTACTTTACCGAGCACATTGCGATAATTGGGCCGCTTGCAGCTGATGGACTCGAGCAACAAGAGCAGCTGGCGGTTCGAGCGTCGTTTATCGGATGCGACTCGAAATTCACGGATAATGCTGTCTGCTGTATGCTTAGTTCTACAATTAGGAAATGTAAATAAAGCTAATCTGCGATTCAACAATAATAGAATGTGCTAAGCAGCATCTGGCACATCTGATGTGTGCCAGGCACTTACTCAGTTTCGAGTATGAGAATTCCAACTACCATCCGCACGAAATCGGTTTCAAACGACGTCAAATCGGCCATGTTTTTTATTTTTGAATTTTGTTAAATTAACTGTGTAAACGAACTTTCGAACTCATGCCAAAACTGAGCGGGTTTGCCAAATTAATGCTCTTGCTCATTTGGTTCTGTTTTCGCATTTGCAATGTTGCCATATAGTTCAAAATTTACTAAAGCAAATTTCAAATTTTAACGAATTAAATTAGCTTCTTATTAAATCTGCTGCTGGGTGTGTATGTGTTGGAAACACATACTGGCAACTATAAGACCACCTTTCAGCGTTTTTCGCGCACGCCGATACTTATATATATATATCGATATATTCTGATCAGCTGAAGCTTAAACTGGAAACTTCTTTTACAGCATTTTTCTCTCAGTGTAATCTCTGAGCATTTTTGATTTGCTTTTTGGACCGAGTTTATTTTGTGATTTTTTTTTTTGCAATAAGCAGTCACGGCTTGATTGATTTCGAATATAATTATTTAAAGAAATACACTTTGTAAATTGCAATTCGTGTCTTGGCTTTGTCTACAATATATTAAATGAAAATTATAGATATTTGCACGATAAACTATATACACAAATATTAAAGATTCCAGCAATATTTCAAACATGGCGATTTTAGGCACAACTTGCAATTTCTCTTTTTCTGAAAAGTAAACAGCGAACACAGAAGAGATTGAAAAAAAGTACACACATATATAAAGTAATATATATATATATAAAGAACATATACATTTGTTGTATGTAGTTATGTATTTGTAAGCTGTCTTTTCAAATGGCTTGAAACTTCAATTTGTGGGGGCGTTAAGCCATTAAATGCTACATAATTGTTAATTATACTCTACAAAATACAGAGAGAGACAAAAAAAAAAGAGAAGAAATGTTTAGTAGAACATTAAGTTTAACGAACGAGTTAAATGGTTCGAAATTTACAAATTTTCAATTTGTATATATATTATTTGGAGGCATACAAATAGATGTATACAAATAGATTTAGATGTATATACATATGCATATGTATATATTGCATTTGGATTGCTTTGCTTAGGTGCAAACTTTGCCCTGCTGCTGGCCCTGCAACTGCTGCTGCTGCTTCTTCTCCCGTTCCCGTCGCCGCAGCTTCTTGCGGCGCCGATCGATGACAGCCAGTTCGCCCTTGATCGTGTAGTAGGCCTTGCGCACATCCTGGATCTGTTTGCGCAATATCAACACGCACTGATCGTTGCTGAGCGAGGGATCTGTACAATTAAATCAATCGATGAGCAGTGAGTTGAGTCCACCCATATATATTACGACCAGTAAATGACTTACCCAATTCAACAAGGAAGTTGTATGGACATGGTCGAACGCCTGATGCACTTGATGCAATTGATTGTGTTGGCATTTGCAGTGGTTGTTGTTGTTGTTGTTGTTGCTGCTGCTGTTGTTGGTGTAGTTGTTGCTGCTGCTGCTGTTGTTGTTGGTGTTGTTGCAGTTGTTGTTGCTGCTGCTGCTGCTGTTGTTGTTGTTGCGGCAGCAGTTGCTGGCGTGCGCTATGACGCTGTAATGTGACAACATTATCGGAAGTATCGTCGGTATCCGAACCAGCTGCATTTCAAGTATTTGTATAGAAGTAAAGTCAAATAAATAATAATAAATAAATTTAATTTTCTTTATGATTGCCACTTGCCTGTTGTTGTCGTCGTTTTGCGCATGCTGTTCAATTGCTGGCGGCGCCGCTTGCCCAGGACATGCAGTTCAGTGGCCGTGATTGATGTCATTTGGGCAGCGGACTGGAGAGACGACGTGTCAGTCGCTTTGGCGCGCCGATTGCGTCTGGTTACGCCACCGCCAACGCCGTTGCCGCCGCCGCCGCCACTGGCGCCGTGCACATTACTCTCGAGTTCCGTATATTTCTTGGTGGCACCGCACTGCAGACTGCTGCTGCCCGTCTCCTCACTGCTCTCATCCTGGCTGGCTGGCGAGTCTGGTGAGCTGTTGGGCGATACCGAAGCAGCCGTCGCTGGCTGGCTAACCAGCTGGCTGGACACTGGTGTTGCACGCTGCAACGCTGGAGTGTCTGGCGATAATGGCGCTATGCCTGCAATGGTTAGCGTTGATTGTGCTGCGCCTACTATCGCACCGGATGTGGCGGCGACAACTGTGCCCGTGCCCGTTCCTGTTCCAGTTGCAGCAGTTCCACTTATTGCTGCTGCGTTCGCCGGTGCCGCCGGGCCGGCAACGGTGCTCGTGACGATCAGCTCATCCTTGCTGGTGTAGTTGGGCGCCGGACTGCCCGGTATTGTCTCCTCGCATAGCAAATTAATGGCCGCCTCATTGTGGGCATCACTGATTAGCGGACTGCTGGCCGCCGGCGAGACACGCATCGGTGCCGGTGCCGGCGTCGTTGTCGGCATCGTCGTCGTCGTCGTCACCTCCTTGGCCGGCTGCAGCACAAATGGACGCGCGCGCGATGCTAGATATGGCATGAGTGCGTCGGGCGGCAGCTCATCGGACAGCCGTGGCGGACTGTAGGGGATCAAATTTTTATGATCGATCGGCATCGGGTATCTGGTGGCCATTTTATCCTCGGGCGGTGGCGACGCCGGACTGTCGCTGGTGCAGACAATAACTGGGCTGTGACGCATTGCGACCACAACAGAGACGGGTATTTCGGGCACAACAATGGGCACAACGATTGAGCCACTTGCTCCAGTTAGCGCTGATGCTGATTGTGTTTGTTGCGATTGCGATTGCGATTGTGGAGGGGCTGGTCCTGATGCTGATGCTGGTGCTGTTGCTGGTGATAATTGTGTTGCGGATACTTGTGGATTGGCGGTATAGGAATTGAGGCCAAATGGCAAATGACCAACAGCTGGTTGCAGCAGCATCATTGGCTTTAGTGCAATGGGCGCTTGAATGCCGGACAGCTGCTGCTTGCTGCCACCAGCCGCATCCGGCTCGAGTTGGACGGGCGGACTGTTTGTCAGACTGTTGGATGCCTCCTCGGAGGCGGGACTCTTCAGCTCACAAACGCTAATCGTGCTCGGCTCCTCAATGATAACATCCTCGATGACCAGCCGTTGCTCCGAATCGGTGCTATCCATGGACTCATCATCCGAGAAACTTGTGCACGCAGCCAATGCGCCACCACCGACACCGGAACCAGCAACCGATCCCGCACTGGCACCCGTCACCGGTGGCGTGCCAGCTGTTGATGAGGCCAACGATTGGCCAGCCACTGGCGTTTTACGCTGCTGTATGGCGCACTCGAGCTTCTGTATCGTTTCGCTTAGCTCACTGTTTTTGGCCGCCAACGAGGAGTCCAGCAGTGACTTGGTCTCCGGACTGTTGCTGCTGCTCGCCCGTTGATGCAGATCGCTGAGCAGCGATGCGCCCGTTTGTATCTTGAGCGGTTCACTGAGCATCTTCAATATGTGCATCTTCAGGCCCGAGCTGCTGTGCTCCAATTTAATGTTGCTTGGCAGCTGTTGTTGTTGCTGCTGTTGCTGTTGTTGCTGCTGTTGCTGTTGTTGTTGCTGCTGCTGCTGTTGTTGCTGCTGCTGCTGCTGCTGTTCGTCCTTTTCAGTGTCCATTTGGCATTTGGTTTTGCTTTGTTCCGACTCCTCCTTCTTTCTTATCGCTTTGAGCACCTTGTCCGCTATGGAACTGGGCTTCTGTTCATATTTGACAGCGTCGAGATCAAATGGACCCGCTGCTCCCGCCAGCAATATCTTCACATTCTCCAGCTTCTCCAGTTTGTTGTCCTTATTCGATTCACCGGAACTATAGCCGCTGCCCTCATTCGATGTGCTCAGCTCAAAAACATTGCGTGTCTCCATAAACGGACTGCCTGCAATATGTTGCTGTTGTGCGGCTGCTGCTGCTGCAGCAGCTGGTGTTGTTGTTGTTCCCGTTTTGGCCACGCCTATCGCTTGGGGCGGTGTGCTCAGCTTGGGTGAAATGGGCACAGCAATTGTTGGTGTTGTTGCTGCAGCAGTAGCAGTCGGCATAATTACAGCTGCTGTTGCTGCGGCAACTGGTGCTGGTGCTGGTGGTGTTGCTGGCGTTGTGGGCGGCTGAAGTGCATCCGTTAGAGCGCGTGTTGTCTCCTGCACCGTTTGGGCCAGCTCCTCATTCAGGGCGGTTATGTTTAAATTAAAACTGGGCGATTTGCGCAACACATCGAAGGGTGTTGCATATCCAGGAGTTAACTGCACCTTTGCCATTAGATCAGCAACGGTTGCTGACGATGGCGTTGTCTTTATGCCGGCTGACGGCAAAGATGGCGTTGCCTTGACGCCACTGGGACTGTTGGCTGTTGGCGAGGATTGGTCAGCAGCAGTAGCTGTTGATGACTGCTGCTGCTGTTGCTGCTGCTGCTGATCCAGTTTAAGCTGCTTGGGCTGCTTATCAGCCAAGAGCAGGGTGGCTTCTTTTAGTGGGGAGTTTCGCTTCTTGGCCTTGCTGCCTGTGGCAGCAGCAATTGAACCATGCATGGCACAGTTGCGCTGTTCGTGCACCGTCAATTGATGCTGATCAACGTACAAAGCAATCGTGTTCGCTTTCAGCGCCTGTTTGCGACCAGCAACAGTTGCTGCTGTTGCCATATTTTTGCTGCTGCTGCTGCCAATGTTGCTGCTGCCAGTGTTGCCGCTGCTGGTGGTAGTGGTAGTGGTGCTGCTGCTGCTGCCGGCGCCAATGCTGCTGACAACAGCTGGCAGCGTTACTGGCACAATCGCAGTACCGCCCATGGCCGCCATGGGCGAGATTCGTTTCTCGAACTCAAACGGCTCCGTATCTTTGAACTCGTACACATCCGACGAGAGCAACTTGATGCCACTGATGCCGCTGCCACTGCAGCTGCTACTATATTTGGTCTCCTTGGCAGCAGCTATTGCTGTTGCTGCAGCAGCAGCAGCTGCTGTTGATGTTGTTGTTGTGCCGCTGCTTATTTCCAATTTACTCATGTCCGGCAACGAACGCGTCGCTGAGGAGCTGCTCAAGCTGACCGTCGTCGTCGTCGAATTGTTGCTGCTGGAGCAGAACGAGCTGGATGAGGAGCTGGACGATGACGGCGAACAGGCTGCAGGCAATTCCACCTTCAATGTTGCCGTCTCCTTGTGCAGCACCGGCTCTACAAACTTTTTGCTCGCATCCACAGTGCTGCTGCTGCTGCCAACAGATTGCAGCTGCTGTTGTTTCTTTAATAGCTCCAATTTCTTGGTTGCGCTCTCCGTTTTCTCCGTCTTCTTGAGCAATGTCAGCGGCTTCTCCACAATTACCGATGTGCATTTGGCGGCGGCGCTTGGATTACTGCTGCTGCTGCTGCTGTTGTTGCAGTTGTTGTTGCTGCTGCTGTTGCTGCCGAAACGCGCCGGTGCAATTAGTGTAATGGTTGTTGTCGGTTTGATATCGGCGCCCTTGTGAAAAGGCTTCGTTGGCGTCTCCTCCTTGGGCTCCGTTTTGAACGGTTTGCGATCCTCGTCGTCGTCATCGTCGTCGTCGTGGCCCACAGCATCATATCCAGCATCATGCAGTTGAAACATTTTCTTATTGATCATGCTGGCCACCTTTTCCTGAATCGTCATGTTGCCGGCGCTCTTGACGGGAATTGCTGCTGTTATTTTGGGCTTGCATTTTTCGCTTGCTTGTTTGTGATAGTCGAGCTTATCGGATGATTGCGAATCCTCGTCAATATACGAATCCGTTTCGGAGGATTGCTCCGTGGAGCTGCCGGTCTTGGTCACTTCCTGTTTGACTTGTGTGTCGCTCGGTTCGCTTTTGATCGCATCTTTGCGATCCTGTAGCGGAAAGCCTTTCAGCTGCGACCGTATCTCGCTGAGGTCATAGTCACGTCCCTGCCCCTTCCCAGCAGCAACAGCAGCAGCGGCGGCGGCGGCGGCTGCTCCTCCACTGCTCATTGCGCGAGTGCCAGCACGTGATCGCTGCAATGGTTTCGATTGCTGCTGTGCAGCAGCAGCAGCAGCAGAAGCAGCTGGTGTCTGTTGCTTATTTGATAGTGGTGGCTGTGGTTGTTGCTGTTCCTCATCCTCATCCTCGTCACTATCCTCGCTGGGCTCGCTGTTGCCGCGTCCCTTTTTGCCAGCTGATGATGATGATGAAGCTGCTGCTGCTGCTGCGGCCGCTGCGGCGGCCTTTGCTTTGTTCAGCTGTTGTTCCTTGACACTGAGTCGCTTGGGACGACGCACTGGCTCATCGGAATCGCTGTCCGTTTCAGTGGCCATGGACGCATCAGAGACATTTGCCGATATCGATGCCGAGGCGGAGATGCGACGTCGCAGATTGTTGCTACTGTTGCTGCTGCTCGCCGCTTGCAGCATTCGCGTTGGTCGCTTGCGTTGCTTCAGCTGCGACTGTGAGGCAGCTGGCGATTTGGTGCGACTCGAATTGGAGGCAACTGATGATGGCGTTGTGGATCGCGGTGGCATTGAATCACTCCGACCCCGTCCACGTTTGCCAACACCCGTTGTTGCTGGTGTTACGCCTGCTGATGTTGTTTGTGTTTTCGATGCCGAATGCAGCATCGAGGACGCACCAGTGCCGGCGCTTGGTGGTGGCTGCTGCTGTTGTTGTTGCTGCTGTAGCTGTTGTTCACGTTCCCCCTTGGCAGATGCATCCTTTGGTGGCAACTGGCCGGGATTGGGCGCCTGGGTGGGTGCACCGCAGCTATTGACGCTGCTGGTGCTGATTGTGCGCTGCTTCTGCTTGGAGCCCTTGGTTAGATTCTCGGCAATGCGCTCGCGGGGCACCCACTCATCGTAGCGATTATTCCAGCCGGTATAGTGCACCAGATACATCGGCACGCCGCGCTGCACATTAATCTCGATGACCTTCGCCTCGTAGGTGCTGCCATGAGAACTGGGCGATTTCTTTTCGTGATAATTCACTTTGAGTTTGTCACCGATGCCAACGATAAAATCGCCCGTGTCGATTTTCTCCACTGTTATTTCATCTCTCTTCCGCTTGCCGCGCTTCTCGTCGCTTTTCTCCACTTGTTTGCGTTGTTGATGTTTCTCCTTTTTCGTTGGGCCACCGGCAGAATTATTTGCTGCTGCTGCTGCTGCTCCTGATGCTGCTGTTGTTGTTGGTGCCGTCGACGATGCTACATCAGTTAAAGAGAGATAGACGTATAATAATTGCCAAATTATTGCTATCTCATTCATAAATGTATGTTTTACTCAGAGGGCTATTCCAAAATTGTGCGAAAATATGTATTTCATTAATTTTTTGGCTTCCACTTTTCGTTGCACTTGCAGTGCAAGCAATTTATTTATTTTAAATATTGTGCGCATTATAAATGAATATGCAACAATTGCTGATAATAAATAAATATATTAATCGAGCAAACAGTGAGTATAAATCGATAGCGTAACATAATCTATCGATAGATAGCCCAAACTCATCAAACACGAACAAGAGCAAAGAAAACACGTCTGCTGTGTGTGTGTGTGTGTGTGCAAACACCAAAAACATCTCTGCAAGCAAGCAAGCCCCCCTCAAATGGTGAGGAAGAAGAAGAGAGCGGAGATTGAATCGAAATCAACACGTTCTTATCAAGAGTTCAAATTTTGCGAAACCAGCTGGGAGGCCAATGCCATAACTACAATAATAATAATAATAATATTGGTAAAATACAACAACAAAGAAACCATCAGCGAGCAACAAGCAACGAAAACGTTTCACTTTCAATTCGTGTTGCCGACTGGAAGCGTCGGATCAATAAACGAAATTTAGGTATTAGTGTTGTTGTCTAGCCGGGAATGCTTATATAATCATGCGATTACGTTTCCTGGCCACAGCCAGCCGTCAATGGGGGCTAAATAATCGAGCCAATAATGGAAGTCTGCATCGCCTGCTGGCGACAAGCAGCGCAGGACCAAAGGATGACCAACATAATTATAACAGCAGCGGCGAGGGGCAACAGCAAAGTTCGCCACTTTATGGCGCTGTTGCCATCGGGGGTATCGGTGTCGGCTACTGGTTCTTCCATCAACTGGACAGAATGAAGCGGAAGCAGACAGAAAAACAATTGGCACCGTCTCCTGCTACTGTTGCTGCTGCTGCTGCGGATGATGATGATGACGAAGAAGAGAAGAAAGCGCGTCTGTGGCACAGGACAAAGCGTGAGGAGCTGCCCACATACAGTGTGGAGGATGTGCTGCGTCACAATACGCCAGAGAGCCGCATTTGGATCACGTATGGTTTGGGCGTTTATGATGTCACTGAATTTGCGCCGAATCATCCCGGCGGAGATAAGATTCTAATGGCTGCTGGCAATGCCATCGATCCCTTCTGGGCCATCTATCAGCAGCACAATACGCTACAGGTGCTCCAGCTGCTGGAAACCTTTCGCATTGGCAATCTGAACAAAATAGGTGCGATCAATGACGATGATGTTGGTGATGAGCTAGGCTCACCGTGGGCCCAGGAGCCAAAACGGCACGCGCTGCTCAAGCCGGCCAGCAAGCGGCCATTTAATGCGGAGCCACCAATTGGAATGTTGGCCGATAAATTCTACACGCCCAACGAACTCTTCTATGTGCGCAATCATTTGCCGGTGCCGTCCATCAATCCAGATGAATACGAGCTCGAATTGGTCGTGGAATTGAGCAATGCGCAATCAAATCGCACGTTCAACCTCGACGATATTCAAAAGATGCCCAAGCACACAGTCACAGCGGCCATCATGTGCGGCGGCAACCGGCGTTCCGAAATGACTCGCATTAAACCAGTCAAAGGTGAGTTAAACACAATATTACAGACAAAGAGAGTGGGAGGTATATATATATATATACGTGGATAGATAGATAGAGAGTAGGACTTTTTGGACAATGATGAATATGCTAATATGAGATAAGGAAATATGAGAGAATTAAGTATAATCATAAATGGGAATTTGGGAAAAATCAAGTTTAGCAAATTGAAAAATATGTATTTAAATATTCCTAGTAGCTCTGCTAGAATATAATAACTTGACTCGCTATATATACAAATGTGGAATGAGCAAATTAAATATTCGTCAAATGCCGTAAAAGCTTTTGAAAACTTTGAAATTGAAATACTCGAAAAGTGTCAAGATAATGGGTTACAAAATGTAAAAATCGAATACAAGTGGCTAATAAAAATGATAAGCTGAAGGTCTAAGATTAATCATTTATATATACATATATATATATATATATATATATAGAGTAAGAGTATAGTGGAATTAAGAAGCTTGCTTGTCTTGTGAGTGAATATCATCCATCAGATGATGGATCTATCATAAGAATGCTGTGTGTGTTCTATTAACCTAACTGTCTAATTCTTTGTAGGTTTATCCTGGGGACCAGGCGCTGTGGGAAATGCCAAGTGGTCGGGGGCACGTCTGTGCGATGTGCTCCAGGCGCAGGGTGTGCAGCCCGATGAGCGTTTGCATGTTATATTCGAGGGTGCCGATTTGGATCCGACAGCACATCCGTATGGGGCATCGATACCGTTGTCCAAGGCACTGGATCCACGCGGCGATGTGGTGCTCGCCTACGAGATGAACGACCAGCCATTGAGTCGGGATCATGGTTATCCGATTAGGGCGATTGTGCCCGGCACTGTGGGTGCCCGCAATGTCAAGTGGCTAACCCGAATCGTTGTCACCGATTCTGAGTCAGATTCGCACTGGCAGCAGAACGATTACAAGGGCTTCAGTCCGAGCACAGACTGGGATACGGTTGACTTTAGCCTGGCGCAGGCCATACAAGCGATGCCAGTGACCTCCGCCATCTGCACCCCCATGCCCGAGGAACGAGTCAAAGTGGACAAGGATGGTTGCATTACGGTACGCGGCTACGCCTGGAGTGGCGGTGGTCGACGCATCGAGCGCGTTGACTTGACCAGCGATGCGGGCAAAACGTGGCATGTCGCCCAACTGGAGCAGGAGAATCTGCCCGATGGCAGACACTATGGCTGGTCACTGTGGACGGCCCGTTTGCCAATCAGCGCCGATCAGCAGAAGGAACAGCATATGGAGATTTGGGCCAAGGCTGTCGACTCGTCGTACAATGTGCAGCCGGAGGCATTCGAGAATATTTGGAATCTACGCGGTGTTCTCGCCAATGCCTATCACAAGGTCAAAGTAAAGCTATCCCAATAATACACACAATCATCCACCAAGAACAAAAAACTTAAATTCTTTTCTACTTACCAAATACACATACACTATGAAAAAGACTACGATTTGAACTAAATTCGAATAGAGATCTAGATATGATATGTAGGAAAGGGAGGAAGAACTCAAATCACATTTGTCTACATGGAGTGAGTCTAAGTCTGCCTGGGAGATAAAGACGAAGATCAAAGAGGCTGGGCAACCAACAAATGAGTCATACAACGACGAACTGATGCTTCAGACTTACCCGTTGCTGATGCGGCTGCTGTTCCTGCTCCTGTTGGGGATGCGTCGCGACTGCGTTGCGTTTCCGATGCAGCTTTGCTCGATGCATTGCTGCCAGCGCCGCTTGGCTCCTTGTCCATGCTGTTGTTGCGCGTCGAAACTGCCGCTGCCTTGATCTTTGCCAATGGCATATCGGCTTCGGCATCCTTTGCATCCTTGGCGCTGATTGCTGTTGCTGTTGTTGCTGCTGCTGCAGTTGTCGCAGCAGCTGCTGCTGCTGCCGATATGGAAACCGCTGTGCTGCCGACGCTGGATGTGGTGGCGGTGGCCACTGTTGGAACAGCTACTGCTCCGCCTGCTGCTGCTGCTGCTCCTGCTCCTCCTGCTGTTGCTGCTCCTGCTGCAGTGGCTGGCGTGACAGTTGTGGTGGTGGTAGTGCTGGTGGTGGTATTGGTATTGGTAGTGCTTGCTGTTGATTTCTCCTCGTATTTCTCCACTAGACTCTTGACTTTGCTGCCACCGCTGCCTGCGGCGGATACTTTGCGCTGTTTCTTCACCGGCTCCACAACCACACTGGACTCGCTAGTGTTGCCTGATTCCTCAGCTGCTGATTGTGAGATTGCCCGGGAGCCAGCGCGAGTGGGCGTGGCAGCTGTGGCGCTGCTGCTACTCCCACTGCTGACTCCTGCTGCTGTTGATGTTGCAGCTGCTGCTGCAGCTGTTGTTGTTGTTGCTGTAGCTGATGATGCTGCTGCTGTTGTTGATGCTGTGCTGCTGCTGCTGCCGAGAGCTGCCAGTGCCTGATTGGCCATCGCCAATTTGCTAATTATCTCCATTTTGGTGGTTTCCGCCGGTTTGGGCGAGGCCACCGAGTTGGCACGGACCAGGCTGCGACCCTTGCTGCGACTGGAGTTGCGAGATGTCATCAGCATGGAGCAGCCGAGCTTGCGATGAAAATCACCATACGGTTGCAGGAATTTCTTATAGGCCTGCTTCACCAGATTCATAACGCTAAACGTGCACGGCGTGAATCCCAGTCGCATGGCAATCATTTTCCATTGATTCTTGGCGGTAACACGATTGTAGCCGCCACGCTTCTGCACCGCCCGGAACAGGCGATAGAGGTCCACATCGCGACTTTGGATCGATGGCACCTTGTTCAGCGGTGTGCCACGATCATCCATATATTTGTACAGCTGTGCCACAAACAGATCCTTCTCCTCGTGCGGCTCATCGTCCGATGAGTCCGATTCTATTTCCGCCTCATCATCGGTCGTTAAATTGGCCAGACCGAACAGAGAGTCGCGATCCCAGTGGGCAGGCAAAATGCTCTTGTCTAGAAATTCGAGGGCTGCCAGCACAGCGGGCACTTCCTGTTTGCTGGCTATCTCTCTTGTAAATTCATTCGCCTCCTTCTTCGGCACCGTGTAGTAGCGTCCATCCTTAAAAGAGCGCACCAGATACTCGTCCTTGACCCGGATGCGCACAGTGGCCTACAAATTGCAAATGTTGAACAAAATCTCATCAGTCAATCAAGATTTTTAAGAGATTGTTTTGGACTGGTAGCAATGCGAGGAAAATGTCCGATATCTAGCACTGCTTGGATGCAATCATCAATTTGATAGCTTGTTGAACTCACCTGCTTGCTGACCTGGGCGGTGGGTGCGACAACGAGAGCGGGAAACCATTTCTCCTTGTCCTTTTTCTTGGATTCGGTCTCGACGCAAACGACTTTACCAATGTGCTCCTCTTTCTCGTTGACCACCTCCTTGGCATCGCTCTCGTCATCGTCATCGGTGCTGCCATCATTGAGTTGACCACGTCGTCGTCCGCGTCGACCGCCCACCACCGGATTACCGAAATGCTCTGGATGCGTCAGTGGCAATTGATCCAATGTTTCGCTCTCATTGAAATGCCTGCCGCTCTTCAAGCAGAGCGCTGTGCGACGCAGCGTCGTAATGTCGCCATCATCGAAGACGACCGTGTATTGGGAGCAATCCTGAATTTTGGTTATTGTCGCCTCGATGCACTCCTTTCGATCCGGATGGCGCACCTCAACGGTTGCACCGGCGCGCAGTTGTCCGGGCGCTGCCTTAATTGCATCATCCGATACAATCCCAGAGCCGAGTCCCTGCTTGTAGGCAACCTTCACCTTAATGTTGCGTACCACTTTGCTGACTTTTGCTTCGCAGAAGGCGCCCTTGTATTTGGCGCTCACCTCGGTGCCCACAGGCAGCGATGGTGGATCGTCAGCTTGCTGCAAGCGCAAACAGACAGAGACAATTCATTTCCAATCATTAGCAGTGCATACTTGTGCATATTCGATTTGCTAGCATTTGCTTCTTACCTGCATATTGTTAGTGAGTAGAAAACTGCGTTCGTCGTTTGTGTGTGCGTAATAATCAATAGAGGCTGTACATTTTCAGTCAAATGTTTACATTCTTTGCATTGGCCTTGGTAGTCTCAATTTCCAAGGGAGCCTTCACCTCCTCCTCCACCACCACGTTATGGATCAACCTCCTTTCTGACACACACACACAATTTGCCGCGTTGCGTTTTTGTTTGTTTTCTTTTTCAAATTGCATTCACTGCTGCACTTACGCGGTGTTCAGAAGCAGCGCCGCCTATGTGCTACAACAGTTGTGATGTTTTTAGTCTGTTGCAAATATTATTGGTTGCAAGTTAAAGTGAAATTTTCGACATTTGCTTTTGCGTTGTTTAGCGTCTTTGCAAAATGTTAGTGATGTGCAATTATGTAGAATAGCATCAGCGTATCGATTAATCGCCAAATACTTTCAACGCTATCGATACATCGTTGTGAGATGAGATCGATTAGTACTAAGTGATAATATTAAAATTGTCACACACATTAAATAACATGCATAACGTCACAGATTCAGTCGGGTTTGTTTCAAATGGGGCTATGTTCGACATAAGCATGAATCGATATCGACATGTTACATACTATCGATTACGTTACGCAAATGTAAACAGTGGCAGCACCACAACAACACTCAACTCACTCACTCAAACGGCAACCTAATCTCTTTCACTCAAAATTTGAGTGTAAACTCAATGCAATAATTGCACGCCTGCGTGCTGAAAACAATAATAATTACTTGCAGTTGCGCTTTGAACACCAATTTGAAATGCTAATGCCCGTTTTTTACACGATTGACATCGTCAGCTAAATAAACATATACTTTTTATTCTACATATTTGATCAGTATCAATAGCTTTCAATAGATGAAACCTGAAACGCATCATCTCATTCCAAATACAGTTATATTGACAGATACCAATTTGTATTCAAGAAAGCGTACTTTATATTGCTGTTATTTCTTGTCTACATCTCAATCGTATTCAAATAATGGCAAACGAATACAGGTTCATTGCTGCAGTTCACTAATTAAAACGCATTTTCACGCGCGCTAATTGAATTGCCAGCAAAATTATCAGCGCAAAGTCTTTGATGCGTAAACAGCAGCAACAACAGCCGCAATCAGTACGAATCCAATAAGAATTTGACAACGGATTTGCACCGCTGCTTTTATTCTCGATTCTTGTTGGAAAATATTTGACGCTCGCCTTGATTTTAGATGCGTGCACGTGTTGTGTGTGTGTGTGTGTGTGTGCGACGCAAATTATAATCACAAAGCAATTAGCTAATGTTTTTATGCCTTCTCGGGTGTTGTGACATGTTTTTTGCTGAAAACTTTGCGTGCGCAGCCAAAACATTAAAGCTATGATGATTCCACCGAACGATATGCAAATCGACAAGCGCAATTAAACAACAACAAAAAGAAACGTCGCTTTACTTGATTGGGATATGCACACATATAAAATACATACAAATGTGTTCCCATATACATATAGACTTGGGATACTCACTAGCTATTTATAGTTGCGAACTATGTACATCCTGGCAGAGCAGCGTGTGTCGCCTTAACCAGAAAAAGATGCAGCATTCCAGGGTTGCATTTTAGGAGCTCCAAAGACATAGAAGCAAAGCACCAGCTGTGGTTGATGGAGGAGCTAGAGGCCCAGCAAGAGGCGCAATAGATCTGATAGGTCGCAGTGCAGATATTCCAGCAATATAGCCGGTTGAGTTATTAATTTTCTCATTTCCATTAAAACGCTATTAGCTGAATCTATCTGTGGCTACAGTTTCATTGTAATTTACTTGGCTGAATGACTTTTGCCCCACCCTCCCTCAAGCGAATCCACCCTCAATCAGCCGGGCACCTATCAACCGCTGGTTTCTGCTGCTCCTTTTCAATTATCACTTGAAAAAATGAAAGGAATGCTGTAGTCGAGTGAGCTCGACTACGACATACCCTACTCAACCCAGCTGTTAAATATATTCTAGTTTTATTGCAGATACAGTTATGTTATCAACAATATATGTCAATAATGACAATAAATATTTGTTTCTCATCCAATCTTGATTTACATTGATAAAGTTGATCAGTAATATGTCAATGTATATGCCTTTAAAATATATTTCTGTTAGTGCTATCGGAAATCGAAATATCGATATTGGCGAAACGGTGGCAGTTTTCGATAAAATTCAATAAACTCAATATATACGAGAACATTTATATTCTCTGAGATTCACGGACAGACGGACAGACGGACAAGGCTATATTGACTTGGCTGCTGATCCTGATCAAGAATATATATATACTTTAAGGGGTTGGAGATGCTTTCTTCTGCCTCCATTCAAAATCATTATACCCTTTTTACGCATTTGAAATGGGTATAAAAATGAAAAACACAAAGAAAAGAATTAGCAACTGAAATAAAGATGAATGAAAGGCAAATAAAGAGTGAACTTGCCATAGAAGCGCTCAAGTAAAGAGGGTTCCTTACTCCATCCATCCATTTCCTACGCCAGTCAGTCAGTCAGCAAGGAGTAAGTAATTAGTGTGCATTTCCATTCGTGTGTGTCTGTCTGTCTGTCTGTGTGTGTGTGTGTGTGTGTGCAACATTTACTTTTCCACTTCGTTTGCGACAATTAAATGTAACAAAAGCGTTCAAGCAGCAGTTGGAGAAATAAGTAACTGCTATTCAAGGCTACGGAAAACAAACAACAAGAGGAGCCACCAGCAGAACGGGTTGAAGCAAGCAGCCAAGCAGCCAAGGAGCCGAGGAGCCAAGGATCCGGTGACGTGCCTGCAATTGCACCCTGCTGTTGCACCTGTTCAGGCATCTCCTTATCATCTAAGGCCGCAGCCTCATCATAATGAAACGTGACATTGACTACAATCGCTGGCCAGACAGCCTCCTCAGGCACCTCAACCTCCTCTTAATGCTCACGCCCATCCTCCACCCACTACTTGCTGAGAGCGAGAGACGTGATGCGTCCTCCCCGTCCGGCCATGCTAATCTCTCTGTAATTAAGACTGCCACTCATTCAGTTTACCTGCCTGCCTGTGGTGGCTTGCTGGCCTGCTTGACGATGGCGTCCAAACAATGTGCCAATTTCAACTGCCTTCCAATTGCCAGTGGTTGTTCTTGCTGTTGCCCACACCTCCGCTTGACTGGCGTCGAGTGGATGTTTTTTGTGCTGGGTATGGAGCCTAGCATACCTTACATCCCTGCCATAAATCTGTGACGATGATAAGAAAATTACAAGAAAAATAGATTTGTTATTTGCTGAGATAAATCGGAAAGTGCTTTGACATTATGAAATTTGTTCAGTTAGTCAAGGAGTAGCATTTAACATGGCTGATAACTGGAAACAGCTACAAGCTACAAAAACAATTTGTTGAATGGGTTATATACTTGGCTTATATACTTATATATATACTTAACACTTTAAAGAGTATCTCGGTTTCCACAAGCAATTCTGTTTTCAATCAATGCGGATTTGCCTGTGAAAATATAGATACCCATCCAATCGATTTTTAAATATAATATATTTACATACATGTATGTATAATAAATCTGGGGTAGACGGCTGTGAATAAAGTTTCATCATCTACCCTCTACAAGGCTATATACATGGAGTCGCTCATAACTCAACTGATTTTCAATTTCAAATATATTCAAAATAATAAGCAAATATTTGGATTATTTTTTACTCATTGCACGGATAGGAAGATGCTTCCCATAGCAAATGTGAGTATATAATATATAATAAAATATACATAATAATTTTTGTTTATTTAAAGTGGCAATGTTGGATTCTTGACGAGGCTATAAGTCCATATCGCTAATTGGAATCATATCCAAAAATAATCACTTGAGATGAGCAATAATTCAATGCAGTTAAATTGGGTTTGAGTTTCATGAGTTTTGGATTAGCTGGCATATATATATATATCGCATATATTGCATATATCGCAATAGGCTATTTCGACTCTAAAAATACAATTTTGTTATTTATGTTCATTTCTATCCCAAAATCCCATTTAGTTCACCCTGGGAGTGTGTCTGTGTGGGATGTGCATAAATTTTCAACGTGTTACCAACAAATTGGGACGCATTTAAATACGTTAGTTAAGCTATATATTTGTATACATACCGAAATGTTTAGTTAAATATACTCAATATACAGTGTGTTACAGTTCATTTCGGGCAGTGTCTAGCAAAAACTTTAATTGCCTGCCATTAACAAATTATCCAATATTTTTCAAAAATTCCAAAGACCGGTGGCAGGTACATATATTAACCACCATAATGAATATATGACCCCCATAAACTGGGGTTTCCCCACCGGCTAGGCCGGGTTATGTAAAAAAGTACCTGAAATTATGGTTACATTTTATTTCGGGCAGTGGCATTATGGACACCTGGGTGCCATAAAACCCGGATTTTTTACGCCGGGATGATTATTTTTGGAATAAATAGACCAATCCTTCGTAGTCAGTTTAGTTATATCCTGCATCTCGGGTGCCACCACCCAACAAGGACTATGGACAAACGGACTACCATTGAGCAACGGAATCTCATCCTGGAACACTTCCAGATTGGATATTCACATCGCCAAATAGCTAAAATGGTAAATCTAAGCACCACAACTGTATTCAACATCATTCGACTCTTCGTCGACGAAAATCGGATAGAGGACAAGGGCAGAAATGCACCAAACAAGATTTTCACCGAAGAGGAGGAGCGGAGGATCATCAGGAAAATAAGGGAAAATCCCAAGCTATCGGCTCCAAAACTGACTCAACAGGTGCAGGATGAAATGGGGAAAAAGTGCAGTGTGGAAACTGTGCGCCGGGTTCTGCGCAACCATGACTTTAATGCCCGAGTACCAGGGAAGAAGCCCTTTATAAGCGCAAAAAATAAAGGGACTAGGATGGCATTCGTCAAAACCCACTTGGACAAGGATTTGGAGTTCTGGAACACATTCATATTTGAAGATTATCCCAAATTCAACATTTTTGGCTCAGATGGACGGAATTACGTGTTGCGACAGTCCGATACTGAGCTGAATCCCAAAATCCTAAAGGCAACAGTCAAGCACGACGGAGGAAGTGTCATGGTATGGGCATGTATCTCGGAAGCCGGCGTGGGAAATTTGGTGTTTTTTGAAACAACAATGGACAAGAGTGTGTATTTCAATATATTCAAGGAAAATTTACTCCAAAGTGCCAAGAAGCTAGGAATCCGACGTACTTTCCGGTTCTACCACGACAACGACCAGGACAAAAGCTATGCATAAGTCCGGATTAATACAGTCCTGG